CGTTGCGCACAATTCTCCCACTTTCCCCTACAACTTTTATAAGAAACATTTTTTTCTAAAATGTATCGTTTATGAGATATTTGAGTATATCTAGACTTTTGGCCCACCCTGTATATTTAATTTGATATGAGATTTAACTTAGCGCCAGTTATTGATATCAAATCTTTTGTACGAATGATGTATATCAGAGTTAAGTAGCAAAGATAGTATCACTTGTGTTTTATTTTTTAATTTGATAGAATTTACCTTGATTACTTAAAACTGTAACATCTGAGTTTTAATTTTTCATTCAGTGCTTTATTTTTTTCGAGGAGTAACAATTTTTAACAGAGTGAATTAAAGCTGCCATTATTTGGGTTGAAATAAGAAGACTGTTGTATATACAAGTAGCCTAGGGACTTTCCTGCTTGGGCCCTCCCTGACCCTCCATATTGTTACAGCTGCGCATCACGCTGCTCAGGCCAACTGGCACTTGTAGCTGTGTATATCGCATATTATCCGCACTATAATTATATACAAATAATAAGGTATAGTTAGAGCAAGTTGAAGTATCTTGACTTCCGCCAATCACTCCTTCCAGTTTCCGCGGAGTAAAACGTAAGAAAGGTCTTCAATACGAATATCCTTAATAAAGAATTAAAACTACTATTTTAGGTTGGACACTTAGATATTATTCGAGAAGCACGTATATTCTTAACGCCTTTTTTTACCTTTTTTTAAGAAGATAAGTTGATACAGATATTACGCATTTGCAGTGATGAACGTCTTCCTAAACAGTTAACCTTATAATTGACTTCAAGAATAGATCTTTATGTGTTTGAACAAATTTTGGAGGGGACCTTAATTGGACTTTATTGACCACTTTTCTTTGTGGCATAATTTTTACATAATAAGTTTTAAAGGAGAATTAAAGATATAATTATTTGAGTCGGTAAAAATGTCGAGACGATGGTCATTTGTATTTTCCGAAGAATAATAATTAACAAATACTTGCGTGTAATTTTGTTTCCATCCAATCTCCTTTTGTCAGATATTAAGTTATAAACAAATGATGATCGAGGTCGAATAAAACGTTTTGTCATTGTCATCTTCTGGCTTAAACAAATATAGTGTATAATTTCATTTCCGTTAGATCTCCTTTTGTGATGTATTGTTTTATAAATAAATAGAGATCGATGATGAATAAATCGCTTATCATTATCATTTCCTGCCTGAGTTAACAAATACCAGCGTATAATTTCGTTTACCATGCACCGCTAGCGCTTCTTGCATCAATACGCTAATGCATTTTCGCGCTAAAATGTCCAACAGTACATTCCCTAACAGCACAAGACGTCCTCAGGATCATTCTGAATATGTCCCAGGTCATCCTGGACATTTTAAGGACATTCATACCTCCACTGGATATCCTGAGGTCATCCTTGGGACATTATTTTCGGGACAACCTCAGGACGTCCTTGGGATAACTTCAGGACGTCCTTGTGGGACAGCCTCAGAAGGTTGTTTGAACATAATTCGGATAAAGTGTGCTGTGTAGGAATTATTGTTGTGTGTTCCGATTGCGGGTGATCAGAAATAATTTATACATACATATATTTATTTTTAAAAATAATGATTTCTTTAATATTTGTACTAATGCTTTAATTACGGTTAATCTTATTGTCCATTAATAATTGCGTCTTAATTCCTTATTTAATTTGTATTTTATATTACTTCTAACGGGAAAAATTCCATATATAGTACAATTCAATATTCTTTTCTTCCGTCTAACCGTTTCGCATATTATATATCTACTTAATACAGCATTCGTCATTTTTAAAATTCATACATAGATTGTTGAAAGTTTAAAATGCAATTTCCAATTTTCGTATATATTTTGTTGAAAATCTATTGTTACTATAAATTAAACATGTGTTACAAAATGATATATATATATATATGTTTTGTATAGGATCTAATAAGTATATATGCATATTACAAAATTATATACAACTTATTTAATATTTACATTAATTAAAAGAACTAGTTTTAAATATTTCAATGGAATGTACGTGTCCTTTTCTTTGATACTAATTTGATCATGTTCTATCACAAAACATATTAAATACATTTGTATGTACATAAATTAAGTTAGTTTTATGATCTAAAAATTAAGAGTGTAGTGTAAGAAATTTAGAGAAAATAGATATAACAGAGAAGCTATCAGCGTCAGGGTTGTGTGGGGTATGTGAAGTTAGCACCCCAACTATAGTACTCAGGAGTTTTGAATAGAGTTCCCGTTTCTTTTTGACGAGACAAAGAGTTCTATATAATTTATAACAAGAGTTCCGCTTAATAAGTATTTTTAAACAATTTTAAAAAAATGGGGTGCTAACTTCTCATCGAAAATCGAGATCCAATAGTTCTGAGCGGCCCAATAGCTTCATTTTGTGAATACCTAGAGTTCCAGAAGCATAAAAAAAAATTTTGAAAAATAAAAAAGTTAAAAATTTTTGAAAAATTAATTTTCAGATATAATAATTCTGTCACATGTTAATAGTCATTCTGTCTATTTCGAAGAGTTCTAGGCGATTAAAATCAATACAGACCCAAAAATAAAAGAGATATGTACTTAAAACAAAATTTGAAAAATTGGTTGCAAAAGCACATATTTTCCTTATGTAGTCATGCAATCGAATTTTCACCTAATACTTTTCGTCAGGGCTCGTCGAGAACTGCCCAGAACGCCGATCAGAACTACTGAGTACTCTCAAAAAATTTTCGACGTCGGACTTAGAAAATTTTCAATGATAGAGTCCAAATGTTAAAATATCTCGAAAACCGTTGGCCCAAACGCTTTGTCACCTAATACTTCTCGTTAGAGCTCGTCGAGAACTGCCCAGTACGCCGATCAGAACTCCAGAGTACTCTTAAAAAATTTTCGACGTCAGACTTAGAAAATTTTTTGAGAGTACTTAGGAATTCTGATCGGCGTACTGGGCAGTTCTCGACGAGCTCTGATGAAAAGTATCAGTTGACAAAGCGATTGGGTGAACGGTTTTCGACATATGCTACTTGGGAAAGGTCATTGAAATTTTTTTGAGAGTATTCAGGAGTTCTGATCGGCGTACTGGGCAGTTCTCCACGAGCTCTAACGAAAAGTATTAGGTGACAAAGCGATTGGGCCAACGGTTTTCGAGATATTTTAACATTTAAACTCTATCATTGAAAACTTTCTAAGTCCGACGTCGAAAATTTTTTAAGAGTACTCAGGAGTTCTGATCGGGGTACTGGGCAGTTCTCGACGAGCTCTAACGAGAAGTATGTATTAGGTGACAAAGCGATTGGGCCAACGGTTTTCGAGATATGCTACTTGGAAAAGGTCATTGAAAATTTTTTGAGAGTACTCAGGAGTTCTGATCGGCGTACTGGGCAGTTCTCGACGAGCTCAAACGAAAAGTATTAGGTGAAAAAGCGATTTGGCCAACGGTTTTCGAGATATTGGAATATTTGAACTCTATCATTGAACATTTTCTAAGTCAGACGTCGAAATTTTTTTCAGAGTACTCAGGAGTTTTGATCGGCGTACTGGGCAGTTCTCCACAAGCTCTAACGAAAAGTACCTATTAGGTGACAAAGCGATTGGGCCAACGGTTTTCAAGATATTTTAACATTTAAACTCTATCATTGAAAACTTTCTAAGTCCGACGTCGAAAATTTTTTAAGAGTACTCAGGAGTTCTGATCGGGGTACTGGGCAGTTCTCGACGAGCTCTAACGAGAAGTATGTATTAGGTGACAAAGCGATTGGGCCAACGGTTTTCGAGATATGCTACTTGGAAAAGGTCATTGAAAATTTTTTGAGAGTACTCAGGAGTTCTGATCGGCGTACTGGGCAGTTCTCGACGAGCTCTAACGAAAAGTATTAGGTGAAAAAGCGATTAGGCCAACGGTTTTCGAGATATTGGAACATTTGAACTCTATCATTGAAAATTTTCGAAGCCCGACGTCGAAAATTTTTTGAGAGTACTCAGTAGTTCTAATCGGCGTTCTGGGCAGTTCTCGACGAGCCCTGACGAAAAGTATTAGGTGAAAATTCGATTGGATAGCTACATAAGGAGATATGTGCTTTTGCAATCAATTTTTCAAATTTTGTTTTAAGTACATAACTCTTTTATTTTTTGGTCTGTATTGATTTTAATCGCCTAGAACTCTTCGAAATAGACAGAATGACTATTAACATGTGACAGAATTATTGTATCTAAAAATTAATTTTTCAAAAATTTTTAACTTTTTTTTATTTTTCAAAAATTTTTTTTATGTATCAGGAACTTTAGGTATTCACGAAATGAAGCTATTGGGCCGCTCAGAACTATTGGATCTCGATTTTCGATGAGAAGTTAGCACCCCATTTTTTAAAAATTGTTTAAAAATACTTATTAAGCGGAACTCTTGTTATAAATTATAGAACTCTTTGTCTCGTCAAAAAGAACCGGGAACTCTATTCAGAACTCCTGAGTACTATAGTTGGGGTGCTAACTTCACATACCCGGTTGTGTGGCTCTTGTCAGTAGCAGGATGGAAGTCTACCAACTCGGAGGAGAAACCAGGCCTCGGTTCAAGACTCGGAGCGCGCTCTGATATTTTTCTCGTTGTCGCCTATTTCTTGTAGTAGTTTTTTACCACGTTTACGATTGACTACCTATTCACAACGCTTGAACAGTGGAAAAACTTTCTAGGCACTAGTTTTTGTGAGTGGATGTGGTAATTTTATTTTACTTTTCATACGTCCTGAAAATCCTAAAGTAGTCCTGAATATATCCTAAATTAATCCCTGATAATACCACAATGGACGTCCAGCGGATGTATGTAGGACATAATGAGGCGGTCATTTCATAGTTCATAGGACGTCCTGAGGACGTGTCCCTGGATTACAACAGGATATCCTATGGACATCTCGTTTAGCCGACCGGATGTCCACCGGATGTCTACAGGATGTCCATAGGACGTCCCGGTGTTATTAGGGTTCTGACTGGACAACTAGCGCATTCTCGTCCCGAAACGTTCAACAGTTCATTCTGGCTGAAGGATTACAATAAACATAAACATAATAATAAAGATGACGTATCTCTAAAAATTTTACATCGGGACTTTGCGTCGCAATATCTCCGCTCGTCGGGTATGTAGAAAAAAAATAAAAGCACTTTTATTATACAATTCGAGTAGAAGCAATCTATTGAGCATATGTAGAACTTGATCCGTTAAGTTGATATCCAGTAATCTCGATCCCACGTAACTCGCGGTCTCGCGTAAAAGAATACATACATAGAACGCGATCGGTTCAGCCGTTATTGAGATCCGATAATCTCGATCTGTTGGAACTCGTCGGTTCGCGTAAAGGAGGCACGGCAGTGTCGCTGCGCATAGCTTAGCGCCAAGACACTACCAGTATCTCCACATGATAGTCGCTGCGCTTGTCTTAGCGCCGAGACGCTATTATGTCTTCTGATTTAATTAAAGTGTAGATTTAAATATAAATTTGTTGGACCATCAAAATAATTGTGTAAGACATTTAAATTGGTTGTTAGAGTAAACTTTTTGCAAAATTATATTCAGATTCGTATTTAGTTAATTTTTTAGGTACTTCAGCAAAATCGTTCTTCCATGTATAATATAATTTCGTTTAAAATATTATCTGTTTCTAAATATAGTAAAGTAATGAAGGACTCTTATCAATTCATTAAAAATGTATAATAAAGAAGGCAAATTAGAGTCAAATTACATAAAAAGAAGACAGAAATAAACGACCGTGTATACAATTATTAATAATAAAAATTCATACATACAAAAAACCCAATTTAATTATTAAATATTTCGACTCTTGTATTGAGTCATCTTCAGATAAACCCTAATTTCTAACATTATAATTAGCGTCGTCATATAAAGTACGTGGTTAAAGTTGTCCAATGCATATATTCATATCGTCGAGTGCTTCTCAGAGATCATGATCCACTTACAATGGATTAACCGATCAATTGTTCTGGATAACATGATGTTCTAATAAGGAAACCAGAACGTTTACAGATAAATAAACCATAAGATAAAAAATCATTAATAAATCAATGTGCTAAATTGATTTATATGAGAATGAGTTAAATAAAATGTTAAATAAATAATATGAGATTAGAATAAGACCATGTGTAACGTTATCAATTTATATGAGAATGAAATGAATAAAATTTATATTAAAATAAATAGTATAAGATTAAAATAAGAAACTGTATACCGTTATCAACTCATTACATTATATAAAAGCAAGTAGATACATCATCTAAAAAAATCACTCACCATCAAGATCGCACTTAACATTTAATAGGAAGATATATTTGGTCAAGTTCATTGCAAAATCTTATGAAAAATTAGAGGTACCAGTCAGAAAGTAATAATAGTGTTAATCACAGTCAATATATTTAAAGTCAAAATCATGTGTCGTTTGCACCTATATGACTGGAATAACATCC